ATTTATTTTGTGAATACGTTCTAATTAACACAGTGTTTAAATTTGGAGAAGCCGTGGGAATAAGGAAGGAATGATAGCAAAGCCTTGTGTAGATTTCTGCTATATAAAATAGTTGAATGTGTGTGAGCTTTGAAGCCTTCGGTTCAGATTATTTCCTCCAGATTTTCAGAATATCAGAAATAATTTTCTGATCTGTACAATCTTGAAAGCTGGTCTTCAGTAGAGCTGTTAACACATGACATGTCATTGCGGGACTCCATGGATTACTTTGCCCACTGTCTCACTCAGGTCAGACTCTGAACATGGCAGCTAAATTTTTCATTCCGTTTTCTGGAGGATTTGACATCATATTGTATGAAATAGAGGGAAATAGGATAGTGGAAGTTAAGTGTAGGAGAAGAGTTATTGATGGAAAAGAGGAGGAGACAGTGTAAGACTGAAAAGAAGTTGCGGAGGTTAGAAGTGAACACTTTGATGGAAAGGGTTGGGAGGAACACATGGTGAAGGTGAGAGAAATGACAAAGCTGAAGGAAGCTACGTGGTGGAGGACTCATTGTATAATACCTGCTTATTAAAAGATTTCTTTCCTAGCACCTGTTCAGAAAACCTTTCTCAGGCTGTTATTTCCTTTCTGTACTGGATGATTTCTTTCCAAGTCGTGCTGAGGCCTACCAGAATGTCTGAAACGTCTAATTGTGTAGGATAGGAAAATAGTCACGTTGTCCATGATTCTGAAAATAGTCTTGATAATTTTGTGACAGTACTGAGGTTTTTTTCAACAGAGTTGTCATATTGATACAGAGAAGAGTCAGTAGTAGACAGTATTATAGGAGGTGCAGGGTGTCTGGTCAGCCAGAAGCCCTTTTGGGTTTGAGAAGTACTGATTAGGATTTGTGGAGCGAGCTGAATAGTCTATAAAATATGGGCAAAATTTCAACAACAGGAGTCACAGAACACCTGGTTTAAACACGGGCGAATTGGAGGATGCGCGCTGTTGTCCTTATAACGTTCTGTGGTTGTCTTAAGTGCATTCCTTTGGGCCAGAAAAGGCTTTGGTGGTTCCAGTGAGGACCTTGAAGTATCCAGGGATTTCACCGAGACTTTTAGATGTGCAAGAAATGTAGCGTGAAGCTTAAGGAGCCAAACTGCTCACAAACTAGGAGGAAGAAATGGTTAGTAGAGCTTGGGGAAAGCACTGATGTTCCCACAAAGGTATTTCGTATTGCAATCTAAAATATCTTAAGGGTTCCCAAGTTAAACATAATCTCAGGTCTATAACTCCCTTTACTGACCCAGACAGAAGAGCATAGATAAAATTTTGAAATACAGACATAAGTATTAAATCTGATGTTGACCTTGAGCTATAGAATAAACTTTGCATCGTGAGAGATCTAGTGTACTTTGTACTTTATTAACATGTATCTGTAAACACTATGGGGTCTTGATTGATCTTTGGTATCTAAACATTACATCATAATTAACAACAAATCCAGAAATATATTATAAATACATGAAATAATAGTACATTAACCTAAAGGACAGCAATAAATTGCAACGCTTAGCATAAACTTGAAAAACCACTAATGGGCCACTGTGCAGTTTGTTTATACTATAAGCAGTCAAGAACTCTGTGTAATGTACAGTAACAGTGTGGTGGATAACAGCAGGTCTGATGTGATAATTTATATTTTTTTTTCGTGGACACACACAGCTGATTTTTTTGAAGTTGTTTCTGAGACTGCCGTGATGAGCATTCTCCTTACAGCGTGGCCCACTGCTTTCTTTGAGCTCTACTGGCAGGTTATGGACTCCTTTAATTGCACAGATGGATTTGTGCTTTTTTGTTATGAACATATTTAGTTCATGCCCTTGCATGAGATTGGAAATATTCTCTGAATTACCTCCTCGAACTGCCTCTGGTACTGCTACTCATCGTTTAGCTGTGACAGACCGACGAGGCCAGTTTTGAGACTGGTAGGAGACAGGTAGAGTTACTACATGTGTAACGGTGGCTTCCAAAATACTTTTCGGCGCTGCGGAGTAGGGTTTTGTAGCTGTATTCCTAGAAATCTTAATTATTCACACTCATCTGTCAACACTTTTTGTCTTGTTATTACTGAGTCTTAAAAACCCGTTTGTTCTCTGGCTCTGTGGTGTCAGCCACGTTTTCGGTAGCCACGACCACCATCCCCACTCTCCCACTGCAGCCAGCGTTTGCCATCGGAGTTTTAAAGAGAACGTTTTTGGATGACGTTGTTCCAAACTTTCTTCCTGAAGACCAGGAATACTTCTTTTTTTTTTTTTCCTGTGGAATGTTTACATTGAGAAAAAACATCCTGTAATGATTGTTTCCCAGTTTCTTGGCTTGGGTTGTCATATGGCAAGGCCGTTGTATGTCTTTTTACAAGAACCTAATCCTAAGGATGCACAAACTGACTTAGTACAGACCATACGCATTTCTGTTACGCAGTACAGTGAGATACAATTTTTTTCCCCCTCTATCATCTCACAGAAATGTCCTCTAAAAATGCTCTATCACAGAAAACAAGAAAGGGTACGTGGTAGATGGGAGTGAAAGCAGCGATTTAAAGGCTTTGGCTGTGAAATCAGTTGAAGTGCAGGAGGGAAGAGACCGAAGAGGCACAGACAGCCCAAGTCTGTCCTGTAAATATGGCTTGAAGGGGTCAGTTGGAAGGAGGTTTGCAACGTCCCTTCCAGAGAGCTGGAGAAGACTCTTCTGCGAGGAACATGAAGAGCAGGACAGGAAAAACTTGTGTTGGGTGTGTAGAGTGAGTGAGCAGAACAGCAAAGAAGAAGGGAGAGAAAAACTGTTTTCTTGAGGCTGGGACAGAGAGATGGTTTTAGAGATGGGGAAGGGAATTTAAAGCTGGATCTACAAGGAATACCAAATATTTGGCAAACAGTGGTGTGTTCAAAGGGGTTACATCTAACGACAGACGTGGCAATTCTTCACGTTATTAGAAATTAGAACGTAAGGCCTGTGACAGGATTGGAATTCTATTCCAACAGCCCTTAATGGTTTTATTGCATTATTTATCTTTCTGGTGTAACTGAGGATGGCAGTTTGTGTATGGTTCTTATATTTGATACTGACTGGTAGAAATTGCCTCTTGAAACAGCAGGTATTTCAATACTCTCAGTGCCATAGTTTTTCTCTGACTCCACGGCTTTGGGGTTTCTTTTTTTGGCTCTTGTTAATCCCTGTGGGGTCTCTAATCCTTTCTGAGCAATCTATTAAGGTGAAGCACTTTGTAGGCAAAGTGGGAGCCCTGAGTGCTGCGACTTTATGTCGCTCATGCCAGAATCACGGCAAGTGCTAAACCTGTCAGATTTTGGGGAGGTTGTTCAGCTGTATCGTTAGCAGGTCCTTTGGGTATGTCACCATCATGGAAAAGAGCAGGTGTGTTGGGCTGTTTTTTAGTTTATCTGTGTAATGTTGATGAAGCATTTTGTGTCGTGACAGTCTGTCAGCCAAATATCTTGTCACAAGTCACAAGACTTAAATCTTTTTATCTCAAAGGCTTCAGGGCTCAGTTGGAAACTTGCACTTTGATGAATACTTGCTGCTTTTGTCTGGAATAGCTGGAGTGCATTTCTGGAATATTTGTCAAGATTTTATCAGTGTTTACTCCAATTTGAGTACCTAGCGTATTGTAAAACTGGCTTCAGTGAAATCTTAAAGAATTTTATTTAGTTTATGCTGTTTAATAATATAATGAAAACTAATCCTTCGTCTGTATGATTGTTTGCTGTGTTAAATCCCACTTGCGTACATGGTTCTTTTTAGTCAGCATTTACCTTTAAAAACATTTTTCGAAGAATTGTTTTAGGATTTTTTTTTTCTATGATAAATCATTTTAACCTAGACTACTTGTTTTCTTGAGTTGTCTGCCAGTACGGGGCTGGAAACAAACTTTAATCTCTCTTTTAAAGCATTCCTTCAGGAACAAGAATTTGCTTTCCATCAAAGTGTTGTGTAAAGCACACTTAGAAGAGAATTAAATCCTTCTGGACTGCGTATCTGAGATCTATGCAAGGAGTAACTATAGTAGAAAATATTTAGCTGTATTTTTATATTTGCTTCAAGACTGACCATTTTAAACTAAAATAAGACTTGCATTTCTCAAGTGGTGGATAAGTACTCGTATGCATAAGAAGAAATCTAACTGGGGTCTTTCTGGCACTTTGTAGCTGATTAGTAAAGATTTTTATGTGTAAAAGGGAGTGATTTTATATAGACAAATGGCCAAAGTCATTTAATTTCTTCTTGACAAACTTTTAAAACCAAAAAAGAGCATAGGTCCAGGGATACTTGGATAAATGGTAATTGCACTGAGGGATAAACTGATAATAGCAGGATTAGTGACCATTATAGACAGTTTATGAAAATACTGGCCATTGATTTTTGGTTTGTTACGTTACGTAGGACATGGTATTTCTGTTGACTCAAAATACAGTTTCGCGTGCCGGTATTTGTCAAAATCAGGCCCAGTGGTGAGATGCCTCTCTTGTTCTCATCCCTCCCTTTTCCCCTTTTTAGATAATCTCTAAAATTTGAAGTAAACAAGCAAATAACAAAACATGTAATTGAAATTATTTCCCAGCTCTTTTTAGAACTAAATACTATTTGAAAATCACAGCAAGGTCTTGTGGCTTTCTGTAGTACTTTGCAGCATGGTTGGTTTCCATGAGTTCAGGCCCGTTGAAAAGAAAAATCTCAGAATATTTTGAAAAATATGCAAACTCTACAACTGGGCATTATAAATCTGCAGCTCATATTTATAATAGATACTGAATATATACTGAATGCTAAGTTCATTGATATATATGCAAAAATCCAAGTTTTTGTCTAAACTTAGGGGATTTTACTCACATTTCCAATCAAGATTTGTCTTTGTTTAAAACACGACAGTCCCTTTCCTTTTTTAGATGCGTGTACCTGGGTGACTGCATTCCCATTTCACTCCTCTGTTTTCTAGGTACAAGATATCTCCTTCAGCCACGACTGTCGTTGGGTTGTGGTCAGCACTCTTCGTGGTACTTCCCATGTTTTTCCTATCAATCCCTACGGTGGCCAGCCCTGTGTCCGGACACACATGTCACCCCGGGTGGTAAATCGCATGAGCCGATTCCAGAAGAGTGCAGGGTTGGAAGAGATCGAGCAAGAGCTGACATCGAAACAAGGAGGACGCTGCAGCCCTGTCCCAGGCCTGTCAAGCAGCCCGTCTGGCTCACCGCTCCATGGTAAATCCTTTTTTTTTCTTATTTTCCTCTCCCTTACCTTGTCAGGAAACCTTTCCCCTCGAGTCATTAATGCCCACGTCCTCTAAGATGTTTCTGTAGCTGCCTGACTCAAAAAGATTTGGTTCTTACATACCTTTGGAGGTGCTGGCCTGAAGATCTTCACAGTCTTCCAGCTTCACGTTGCAGTAGTGTTCACTAACAGCCTGAGCAGCAGAAACGCTGATTTTACTGGAGATTGCAAGAATTTATTTGACACGTTCTATTTGCCCGCGTGGTTTGTGCCACTAAAAAATGAGTTTCGTAAAATGAAAGTTTCGTGTAAAAGGTGTTGCAGGTATTGTGCAAAAATATGTAATGTGTGCAGATACTATGGGAATGAGCCAAGGTATGGATATTTCAGAAAGATATTTAGAGCTTACTCAAGTAAACTGTGCTATCACACATGTCAATAATTTCTGCTGTAAACTGAAAGTTTTGGGGTATTTAGGTTTCAGGTTTTGTTCCATCTGGCACAGGGTGAGTAATCTGCAAATTACAATCCAATCCAATTGAAATGCAGTTACCTAAAATTCTCTTTGCTCATCGGCCTCAAATGTCATCAAGCACATCTGAATACCCACAGTAAATACTGTTTGAGGAGAAACGTGGAAACTAGGCAGTGTGCAGTTGATGGCATAGATTTTTGTCCAGTTTTTGTGTGCGTGTGTGAGCAGTGTGACAAATAATGTACAAAGGAACAAAACTCTGTAAGAATCCATCTGTACATCCTACTCCTGTGGTGGAGGAGCTGAAAGGATGTGAAGGGGAGCCTCTAAAAAGGGTTCAAAAATCATCATTGTCCTGCCTTCTTCAGTTTCGTCTGTGCTGTTCTTTTTGCCCTTTTCTTTCATGAGGTTTGTCCTAGAAGGTCCTTTGTTTGGATTCAGGATTTGCTGCATCCTTACCCCTCCTTTCTGTTAAGAGTAAGTCACAGCTTCCATTGGAGGGAAAGTTTAAATAGCAGTTTGGTACGGGCAAACCAGACTTTTCCAGTCTGAGAGTATTAAAAATGGGAAGGGACAGTCCCTCTCCCCTAATTATGACTCTTATTAGAAGTCCTTGTGAAAGCCCAACTGTGTGCGCTGTCGTAGTCAACGTCTTTGCTGCTATAGAGAGAACTTTTGTGCGATTTCTGGATCAAAGGAACGTTTTTCTGACTTGTTGATTATTAAGGGAACCAGAGTTGTCTCAGAAGAAGCCTCTGTATTTTCTCCTTTCTTTGGACTTTTCTAAACAAAGTTTTCTACATGGCTGTTCTGGAGCCGTGCTCTTCTGCCTCGAGCCACTGGAAGGCACCCAAAACGTGATCTGTAGTTTCCTCCTCCTTGGAGACATTTGTCTGTCTACCATTTTCCTTTCTCTCTCATCTTTGCGCAGCAGCTCAGCATGTCAGGCTTGAAACAGGCTGGGGAGTGCTGTCAAGGTTTCCTGTGGCACATCCAGTCCCTTTTAACCGTTGACATCACATAGAGGAGAGGAAGGAACTATCAATTTGTGTAGCTTTCATCCAACCAATTCTGTTTTCTGTCAAGGGAAATTGCAGTAAGTTGTTGCCCTTAGAGTACTCTTAGGTACATTTGAAGTTTCAAATAGATTTGATGCTTTTTTTTTTTTTCTTTTTAAAGAAGGAACAGCAGTTTCATTTGCTGTAGGATCCTCAGTGGTGGACAGATTTTCTAGTTAGGAGAAGGACGTGCGTGGACAAGTTATTGAGAAAAAGGGAGCAGCATTTATGGGAGTATCTCAAGAGTTTTAAGGCTTCAGTTTTGAAATGTCTGTCTTGAAATATAATAAACAAATCAGATTTTTTCCAAGATCTTTCTGCAATCACCATTGCTTAAAAATTAGCTCCATTTGAACAACTAGCTCCATTTTGAAGGCTGCACATGGGTGCTAAGAATTAAGGCAGGAAGGTCGCGTGGGTTTCCAGAGAACTTCATGTAGATGATGCTCATCACTTTCTCACGATGTAGAAGGGCTTGAAGTTGGACACGTACTAAGACCGTGCGTTGGTAACTTGCAAACCTTCACAGGAAAATTTTCTGTGAGAGATTAGTGGGGATTGTATGGAGGAGGTAGCAGAGTTGTCTTAAAAAAAAAAAATCTTAGAAAAAAAGATAAAATAGTTTGTTTTTAAATAATCCAATTGGTAAAACATTGAAATATTTTTGGTGATGATATTGCTGCTTTTCATTTCAGTAATCTTTCAGTTTACCTGGCTGAAGGCAGGCAGGATATCGAACCATATTATGTGCCTTTTATAAAGAGCCATTTATCATCAACTTGGAAAAACCCCCTGGATTCACAGTGACTCTCAGCAGAGGGGTTTTGTGTGCGTGTGTGGCAGCTGGATTAGCCAGAGACCGGTGATTATTTTAATTTGTGAATTAAGATGTGTTTGCTGAGATTGCAACAGCTTTTTATCATATTATGATATTAAATTGTTGTTGTTTGGAGGAGTTACGGCAGTCTGGTGATGGGACTCAGTACTCAGAGTAGAAAAGAGCAGTTCTGCGTTTAATTCTTTGCTTTACTTTATTCTTTTTAACTCACTCTGTGACCCTTGGTAACTGTTACTCAGCTGATTTTGTCTATCAGCTTTCTACTGTGTAACAAGAATAATCATCTCTGTGTTCCCCATGTGTGGAATTACTTGAAGTTTGTATTATAAGAAGAAAAACTGTTACTTTCCTTAATCATCCCTCTAAACGCAGCTGATTATAATGGAAATAAACCCAGAGATCTGTCCCGGAGAGCACCGTTGCACTGGGACAGACTGGTGATTAAGTGGCAGGTTCCGAGAAGCTTGTTGTAAACTATTTTTATTTCTATTTTGTTATTATTTATTTATTGTTGTACACTATTTTTTATTTTCAAAAACTATTTTTTTTGGTGTGGAGTCATGTCATCATGATTTTATATCCTTTGCAATCTAGAAAAGTTCCTGTAAGTTAGAAAAACTGCTGCTAAGCCTTCTGCTAATATTTCTTCTGCATTGCTACAACCTGAAGCCAAAAGATCGGACTTCTGTGAGGAAAGCCCGTGCTTTTTCCCGTCTTTTTTGATAAGCAATTGTAGCCTATTGATGTTAGCTTGTGGTTAGCTTTTGTTCTTGCAAATATTTTCAAAGTTCAGGCTTTGCAATATTTCTCTCACTTGTTTTTTAACTCCCAGTTTCAAAACGAAACTGTTTGCTATGTCTGTAGTAGCAAGGCAATCTATTTACATTTTGCTCCGAGCACCCTACGAACTGTTTACCCACACGATGTAAGCTGTTGCTGGGGGTGGGATGATTTCATTCCCAAATGAATCATAGTTTGGCTTTGTTCTTTTTAGCAGAATGGAGTAAACTGTTAAATAGAGGATGATAGAGAGATGTTTCCTTTGCACCTTTTATAGCTAACACAGATTTTGTTTGGGTTATTCTGTCTGTTAATCCAGCGAGGTTATATTTTTCTCATTCCGTTGGATTGCCAGAGCGCGTTGTCAGTAATATCTGAGTGAGGTTGGGATCCTTTTATGGGCTTTTACTATTATAAGACTATTACGACACCAGTTGGTTGTGGGGCTGAACATTAGGGTAGAATGTGGCCTTATGTGACCTTTTTACTTGTATAAAATGGGGTTTGTGGTAGTTACCTGTCGTACAGGTACACCGTGTGGATGAATGGATGAGTAGTTTAAACGGAGCTGTGTCCTTGGTTATAGGAGTGCATCCCCTGTTATCTTCAAGACACCTGTATGTGAATAGCAAGGAGCATCTAGCTGTAAAAATGTAATGCTTTACTTGGAAGATAGAAAGCTCTGTATAACTTTTACTATTTTTATTCTGCAAATTAAAACTTACGGTGTGCTGCTATCATTACTTCTTGCACCACCAGTAAGTCGAAGTCTCTCTAGCTCTACTCGGAGATTTTTTTCTGTTGTTGACTGCAGGAATTTACAGTATCAGAACAAACAATAATAAAATAAGATAAGCACATCCACACCCACCAAAACCATTCAGTAATAATATGATACTCTCTGAATTAGTCTTCTCATTTTGTTGGGGATTGAAGTATTTATTTGGGTGGTGTAGTTTTGCCAATACACCGTTCATAATGCACAGTGGTTCGGTTTCACATTTAATACCTATGCTGAAATGGAGAACACAATTTTAGAATTATGAAAAAACATGTTGTTCCATATATATTGCATTCAGACTTGTACGTAGCTCTTTATAATATTTTAGTATAGCACATTTTTCATCGCAAACCCTTTTCTAATCTTAAAAATCAAAAAGGTTTTCTCTCATGTTTCCTCCGTTTGTTGCAATCGCAACATGATTAAAATCCAGGCATAAAACTAGAAGTTTGATAAACATGCCGTCTGAGATGCTTTAAATATTTTCATGTTACTTTTCACTATTTCCCAGAGTGAAACTCCTTTTACTAGAAGAATTCTTATGGGAAAGCAGAGTTGAAAGGACTGACATCATCAGCCCTTCCTGAAAAACAGATTGGTTTCCTTTAAGTAACACTCACTTAAGAAACCACCTATTTAGAGAGAGGCAGACAAAAATAGTTTCAAAGAAAATTAACTGTATAATAACTTAAAGCACTGGAGGGCAGTTCCTTTCCAAAGTTGAACTGGAGAGCCGGCACTGTAAACACGAGTTGAAAAGAGTTGTTTGGAAAGTCTCCGTTGAGCTTTAATTTTTCTCTTTGTGAGCTGTAGCGTCTCCCAACAGAAAATAGTTTTTATACATGTATAGAAACAACAAAGCAAGCTGCAGAATAGATGCTTTTTTTCTTTTTTTTTTTTAATGTGCTTTTAATGTTCCTGTTTGTTTAATCATTGCCTTCTTCCACGGCATCACACTTGGCTGTTTTTTTTTTTTTATTATTTAAACCGACTTGCAAATAATAATTCATTTTTCAGCTTCCAGAACTCTACATTTGTCTACAAAGCCTTTTTTTTTT